TATTCTATTCTATTCTATTCTATTCTATTCTATTCTATTCTATTCTACTCTACTCTACTCTACTCTACTCCATTCCATTCCATTCCATTCCACTCCACTCTACTCTATTCTTATTGTTGACTCCAATTTTGGAAGTGGCTTGGCATTGCCTTCTTCTTCCTAGGGCTGAGAGCAAGTGATTGGCTCAAACTCACCCAACTGGCTTTATGCCTATTATGGCATAGATTTGGCAGTTTTTTTTCCACCTACCTTATGACTGGGATTGCTGTGATGTTAATTACCTTGAGGATATGACTCCACTGACTTTGAACTTTAAAAACGTCTTCACTCTTATGATGTATTCACTTCTAACCTTCTTGACTACAGTGTGCTTGATATTATCATCTTGAAGGATGCCCAAATATTTGTAGTGATTATCTTCCTCCAGACTCTTGAGGTATTTCCACAGGGCATCTTCATTCCTTTGGTTTTCACTGTTTTTTCTCTTTGTCAGCATTCCAGAAAAACCCAACTCAGCATGGAAGCTGCCACTCTGTTGATGAGGGTGGCACATTGGTCCAGTCAAACTCCACTGCAATATTTTGGCTGTATCTACAGTCAGTATTGATCACTGGCTCTCTTTCAGGTGGTGTTTTTCCTCATAGCTTTAGATCATTGATATAAAAGAGGTGGGATAACCTGGCAGTTGTTTTTGATGTTTGATAGGCATGACCTAACTTATTCAGTGTTATTGACAGAGGAATCTGTGCAACAACAAACAATAGTGGTGATAAGAGATGTCCATGAAAGATTCCTGTCTTGTAACTAAAAGTTTCCCAATGTATGATCATTGACTAGCAACTACATCTTCCATTGTGTCATTGATCTTTGCACTCTTGCAGGGAGTCAAAGACTTTCTTGTAATCAATCCAAGCTACATCCAAGTTGGTTTTCCTTCCTTTGCAGTTTTTCAAAATCACCTTGTCAGTTAGAAGCTGATTATTTGTTCCTCTGCTGTTTGGGCAGTTTTCTTTCTGGTCAAGTGGAAAGAATTTGTTTTCAACTGAATGCTGGGACAGCATCAGGTACCACATCAGTTAACAATTTGAACGTTTTTTGGTAAACAGGTAAATGGTCTGCAGTTGCCTAGTGCTGACTCCTTTGCTGGATCTTTCATTATCAGGTAGATTTTTTCAGATGTTAACCATTCTTCAATTTCCCCTCCTTGCAGGATGTTATTGGCAAGGAATGGGTCTAGACCATGCAGTTCATCTTCACTTGATGCTGATTAATTTTTGATCTTCCCTAATTTCCCCCCATAATTTCTGCTGTTATAACAAGTTCTTTCATTTCAGTTTCATTTTTATTTTTATTATTACTAGTCATAAAGAGAACCATATTATGGTTGCTTCAGATACATGATTAAGAAGATGTGAACCCACTTATGGCTGCCAAATTTTCATTTTTATTTTAAAAAGCCCTTTGTTTTAAATTACTTGTGTTGTCTTTCAGACCATTTATTTTGAATGACCTCAAATGATTTTGTCCTTCAATTTAACATGTAAAGTAATCATGTGCCTGTAACTAGGTATTGCAAAGCAATGATTGTGCAATGTGACTGTTGAACTGCACACTTTGAGATTGGCTAGCTCTAGAAATAAATCTGGTGTCTGTACAGCTTGTGCTTATGTAAAGTTATAGGGCAGTAAACAAGTCAGAAACTCTAAAAAAATACCTGCAGATTAAACAAAATAAAACAACTAAATAAACAATGCATATAAGAGAAATATCTAAGCCACATGTCATTAGGTTATAACTGGGATACAAAAATACTGAAAAAATAATTTCCCATAAGGTACACAGAGTCATCTAAGGTAAACTTGTTCTTTAATGACCCCACAGATGGTGACCTTATTTTACTTTTATGTTTGACCTAGAATGTTAGCTTCCTATAAACTAAAGTCTCTTTTAGTTTTTCATCCAGTGGAGATGGGGGAATAGAACACTGTGGTCTTGAAAAGAGATTTATTTGGGAGTTATATTAATGTGGATCGCTGAAGCATGCAAATTCATCCACTCATGTGACATTAATTTTTCTGAATGTGAAATATTGAGACAATGGCACAAGAAACAACATCTATTTTTGAATGGATCAACAATATAACTATTGATTTAAAATTTGTTGAATGAACCAAATTTCTGGGTGGTCAAAATTCTGAAGATTACAGTAGCAATTAACAAATTGAAATCAAGAATAGATACCACTGATGATGGAGAAACCTGGATATATGTACTTACAGAAATAATGTAGATTATTGATAATTTTGGAGTAACAGTTGGGTATATTTTTTCTTATGTGTTTACCAAAGAGAGTTAAAAGCCATTTTTTTTCTTTCTTTTTTCTTATCACACCCATATCTTCTTTCTATTTGATTTTTCTTTCTTTTCAACTCTTTCTTTTTTCTTTTTGTCCAAGTTTTTTTAAAATTTAATAAAAATGTATTAAAAAGGAGAAATCTAATTGGGGTGAGTGGAATTGGCAAGAGCATGGTGATTCCAACATTTACTGAAACCTAAATGCTAATTTGGTCCTGCAGATCTTGGGAAGGGAGATAATTCTATTGGGAAGAAATAGGAAATATTTTCTTTAGTGCCATGATCCTGAAAAGAGAATCTCCCAAAAGGAGATTGCTAGGCATTCACATTACTAAATTTTTAAGAAAAAGTTGAATGTTTGAACATGGTTATCATATCAAGCATGCACCAAACAAAGTCTCCATGTATTACATCTCATGCTGGGGGAAAAATGCAGTCCAGTGTTTAACTGACACAGATTGAGGGGTTACATTTGGCCTTTGAGATGCCTTGTCAGGGCCCTTGATTCAAAACATTGGAAGAGCTGGTTCAAAGGAGTAAACAGATCTAGAACATTACAAAGGAGTGATATCAAATTAATACTGTGTTAACTCTCTCCATGCATTTAATAAGTCCTGCCTTCTATCACATTAAAAATGCAACAACAATTTCAATTTGTTTTTTTTTTTTTGTGTGTGTGTGTATATATATATCTTTGGTTATTCGGGTTTTCTCCCGCGTAAGATTGGAAGTATCTAGGCAACGTTTCGATGAAGTCTCATTCATCATCTTCAGGCTTGTGTCTTCAGCTCTGTGCTTCTCAGAGTGATGTGAGCTTGCAGCTGCTTCTTCCTTTTAACTGCTAGTGAGGGTGTGACTTGATTGGGTGGGGGCTTGGCTGTGTTCTGATTGGGTGGGGGTGTGTTCTCATTGGTTGGGGGTTTGGCTGTGTTCTGATTGGTTGGGGGGTTGGCCGTGTTCTGATTGGCTGGAGGTGTGTTCTGTTCAGGTGGGGGCTTGGTTGTGCTCAGGTTAGTCTTCGTTGCTGGGGGATTTGAGCTGGTGAGCTGTGATCTTGCTGTTTGGCTTCGAGTTCGTGGTCATGCTGCATCTTCATGGTGGGGGTCAGTTCGCTTCATGTATGGCTCGGAGGGGTTTGAAGTGGGTAGTGATGCAGCTGCAGTGTGGCTTCTGGTCCGTGGTCGTGTCTCATCTTCTGTGTGGGTGTGAGTCTGCTTTTTACGTGGAAGTGTGGTGGTGGCATCTTGTGTGGCCCTCGTGGGTGTGGGTCTGGTGTCATTCTTCATGTTAGGTACTCGTCTGTTCATGAGGGCGGGTTTCCAAATGGCTGGTAGGAGGTGTCATCTCTTTTATTCATGCTGTGTGGGCGTTTTTCTATCTCTATGGCTTCTCTGATTATTCTGTTGTTGAAGTGTTCGGTTTTGGCGATAGTTCTAGTATTTTTAAAGTCAATCTCATGTCCTGTGGCTTTGAGGTGTTAGACCAGGGAGGAGGTCGGTTCTTCTTTTTTGATTGAGTTCTTATGTTCTTCAATGCGTGCACTTATTCTTCTGTTAGTTTGTCCAATGTATGTGGTGGGGCAGGCGGTGCAAGGGATTTAGTATACTCCTTGGTTTTCTAACTCGATTTTGTCTTTAGGGTTTCTTAGGATGGTGGATATTTTTCTGTTTGTGCAGAATGCTGTTTTAATGTGTTTTTGGAGGATCTTGCTGATTTTGTCTGTAGTGCCTTTTATATATGGGAGGAGGGCTTTGCGTTCTCTTGTTCTCTGTCTTGGATTTTGGTTGGGGTTTCTTTTTGGATTAGGTGGGTAATCTTCTTTCTTTGGAATCCATTGGCTGTTAGTACGTTGGTGAGAGTGTGTAGTTCGGTTTTTAGGTGTTGTTCGTCGGCTAAGCATTTTGTTCTGGAGATGAGTGTCTTGGCTACGGAATTGATCTGTGCTGGGTGGTGGTGTGAGAGTGCGTGTAGATAGCGGTTTGTATGTGTGAAAACTGGTAGATGGTGTGTCCTAGGGAGCCATTGGATTTTTTGTATACCAAGACATCTAGGAAGGGAAGTTGATTGTTAGCTTCTGTTTCCATGGTGAATTGTATTTTGGGGTGTAGGCTGTTGAGGTGTGTGAGGAAGTTGTTCAGTTTTTCTTTCCCGTGTGGCCAGATTATGAAGGTGTCATCTACGTATCTGAACCAGAGTTTGGGTTTGTGATTATATTTTTCTAGAGCTTGTGTTTCAAAGTGTTCCATGTAGAGGTTTGCGATGACAGGTGAGAGGGGTGATCCCATGGGTGCTCCTTCTATTTGTTTGTATTTTTGTCCATTGTAGGTGAAGTATGTATTGGATAGGCAGTGGTTGGTCAGATCTAGGATGTGCTTGGGGAGGGGGGTTGTATTTGTTTTGGATGGCTGTCAAGGCTTCTTTTATTGGCACTTGGGTGAAGAGGGATATGACATCGAAGCTCACTAGTAGGTCGCTGGGTTGTAAGTTTTGTTTCTTTATTATCTCAATGAACTGGAATGAGTTTCTTACATGAGAGTTGATGGATTCTGCATAGGGCTGTAGTTGTTTGGCGAGAAATTTGGCTAGGTTTTGTAGAGGTGAGCCTATGGAGCTGACTATTGGTCTAAGTGGGGTTCCTTCTTTGTGTATCTTGGGGAGACCATAAAGCTTAAGGCATCTGGGTGATTTCTCTCTGGGTATGATTCTTTGCTGGATTTCTTCACTGGTGGGGGAGGCTTTTATTTTGGATCTGGTGGTTTTTTCTAGGTAGGTGGTGGGGTCTGTCTTTAGGGGTTTGTATGTGGGGTCTTGGAGTAGGTTGGTTAACTTGGTTTGGTAGTCAGATGTGTTCATAACCACTGTCGCGTTGCCCTTGTCTGCTGGTAGGATTATTATGCTGGTGTCTTCTTTCAGGTTAAGTAGTGCAGTTTGTTCTTCTTTGGATAAGTTGCTTTTGGGTGGTTTGCTAGTGCAGAGGATGTTGGTGATTTGCTGTCCAACATAAACATTGATTCTCAGGTATACATGGGGAGCTTTAACATTTATTGATATGTCTTAAATCCCATTTTCATTCTGTTGTGAGTTGTTTCATTTTCCTTTTTTCTTTTCCCAACCCAAGAGCA